AAGTTTAATGAGTTAAATGACAAATTTCTCAGTCAGTTGTTTGTTGAAGGCCTTTAAGCAGTCCACGGCTACATTGTATTTGAGCATCTGTAGTGCCAGTTGAGTCTTGTCATTTTATTCGCTAGAACGGCCTTGTGCTCATAATGAACTGTATTTCTGGAGCTTGTACTACTCATGCTACCAGATAAACATCATAAGTTTCCTTACGTCGCATGTCTCACTTACAATGACTCATCTAAGACTAGATTTCACGGCGTATTACATTGCCATGTTGTTATTAATTGCCACGGTACAAATAACTATATACCTGACAGGCTGCCCCGCCGCACATTTTGTTCCCGGTGCATTACAATTTGGCTGATAGTTCGTTACCATCTTTGAAGAAATTTTTCAGATGCTGAATTTGAATATTAACCAGCCAGTGGTTTATTAGTAGATTATGAATGTGGTTCATTATCGTATCGTTTGACTATGTGAGCTTCATTTATCCCACTGGTTCTCTACAACTAAATCAACTAAATGAGGAACGAGAATTCACTATGCTTTTGGTTTTAGTCTCGTTCACACGCATACCGGAGCCCTGGACCTTTCCAGAGAGCGTTGGAGGTCAGTTTCATAAGATACCAACAAATCGAGGTCGTCTACAAACTTTTCACCTGCACGTCTCCTGCGCAGACACACTCGTCTATCTTATCAATTTACAGAATGCACCCTTTGCGGAGGTCAGTGCTAACGCTGAAAGGTTTCGATTTAACGCAATTTATCTGACGCAGCACCTGCTGGCAGCATGCAGTGACAGAATGCCTTTTAGCAACTGGCCTTCCATCCGATACGTTTGCTGACACGGCTTGTTCCGCGTGATCCAATAGTGTACTTTTTCAAGTTCTACGAAGCACGTGTAAATCGGATGATTGAACTCCCGCGATTTCTCAATAATCTGGCGTAGGGCGAAGATCTGGTCAGGGGTGCTTCGTCCTGATCTGAAACCACACTTCTGTTAGATCTTAGAGTCAGATATTCCGCGACACCCTCTTTCTGACACTTTTGCGTAAACATTTAAGAGGTAGGTTACGTGAAGTAATCCCCTGATAAATATAGCACTCCATGTTGTGTCGTCTCTTGAACAGAAGTACTACCATTCCAGTTCTTTACTCTGCTGGTATGTTTTAGTAGTTTGGCAGACCCGTGTTAGCCACAACCTTTAATAATTTTAGGGCGGATTTTGTCAATTCCAGCAACTTAGTACTTTTCACAGCATATGTCACTTTGTCTACTAAAAGACTAATATCCGTTTTTCTTTGCGCTTAAGCCTAGTCTTACAGTTGCTAGGCTTAAATAGTTTCTCAAATTTCTCTCTCCAACGCTGAAGTATATCCTATTCCTTAAAAATAAACTTCTTAACTTCTACTTCAGTACTTTTAGGCTGACCTTCTTTCCATCTCGGAAGCGGCGTTTGGTCGCCACAGTACTTCTGGAATTTCGATTTCAGAACCTCATCAGACTTCCTTGGAATCAGCTTTAGCTGTGGCCACCTCTTTTACTATTGCCTTACGCGCTTCTTCGTACCGCATTCGGGTTAAAGCTTCTTTGCCTCAGAGCCACTTGTTGAATGCATGAATGCAGCGTTCGTTTAACACATAGCTAGCTGAACCTCTGGTTTCCACCAGGAAATTTGGTTCTTACTCATAGGCGGCTGACCATTCCGTTTTGAATTTCAGCATTCGGCGGTACCCCTGATTAAGCAGTTTTTAGAAAACTTCCACCCGGTTTTCACGTCAGCAGTTATCACTTGGGTCTACTCACACCGTCATTTTTCTCTACAAGTTTTACCCTCGTATCTGTGGAAGATAACGTTTTCTCAGGTTATATTTGACGATTTGATTCTCGGTTTATATCTGACGCGAGATCTTTGGATAACCTTCTTTCTTTCGCAGCAAAGTGTACCAGCAACAATCTGATGACGCTTGACAGCTCTGCTTCTCTCTTAACACGAACATTCATAACAGGGTCATACGCCCGGCGATAAGACTATACGCTACATTAGTAATCTAGTAAACCGTTGAATGGTTGACATTAAAATTCAGCACTGAAACAATACGTTTAAAAATATTGATGATATTTGAGTATGAATTAAATTCTACGCCTTGCTTTGTGTAAAACTTGTGAATGTTAGTTGGGCACACCCACAGAATCGAGTTTCATCTTGTCCTGTCAACGTGACGTAGACAGCAGCATTGAAAACAAAATCTCGCGGTCGGGCGGCCCGTAAGTGGAAAGTGCCTACGCACCTATTTGTTATAGTCATCTTGGGTATCCTATGATTCATCTTTATTTGAGTAATTGCCTGAGATCTTTTTTATTTGCAAGCAGTTGTAACAATTTGTAGTCATTGCCTCCTATGATAGATGTTTCAAAAGTTATAGAATATTTATGATCATTTTTACACAAGACATAGCGAAAGTTGTTAGAGCTCTGCTTACATTGTTAGCTAGTCTTTACCTTAAAATTACATATATGGCGACGCTGAACAGATACAGAGCACAGTTTCAGGCATTTATGGTTTTGTGTCTTGAGAACATGAGACAAAGTTTAATAATGACGTTTCGGTGTCGAAAACAGTGTTGTTGTATTTAGAATTAGGGATAATGGTTTTGCTGAAATGGAAACAAAATTTCTTGTTTATCGATCATGGATTGTACTTGCTGAAAACTGTTGCTGAGATATTCAACATAACCCGATTATTTCGTGTTTTACCGCGTTTCAATATTTTTTAACTTCAGAAAGTAGTTGAGTTGCAGTATACGTCCTTAGCGTGAGCAGTTGTTCAGTTTGGAGCCTTTAGATCGTCTTAAATCTGCATTGTTTACTGTGGAAATTGATTTTTTTCGATGTCCGTTACATTTCAAAGTTTATTTCTGATAGAGATCAGTGCCCACGCTGGAACTGTGATTTGCTATTATATTATTCTTGCACGCAAACAACATGTAGACCGGTCGCAATTAGAGATGCAATAAAATTTTTTGCCTAAGCCTCGCATACTTTCTTGAGGTGGTGCATATTTGTCGTTATTGCTAATAATATGCAGTTGCAGCTGCTGTTGTTGCTGTTGTTAATTCAAGTTGACTTTCCTTGTACACTTTATATTGGTATTCATCCTTTGACCCTTGGAAACGTATTACGGATGGGGTTCGAAATGTGAGGTTAAATTTACGCTTATAAAACTGATAATCTTGTTGAACTGCGTTAAATTCTGTACTAACAGTTGACTCTTCGATCTGGTATTATGGATCAGAATTCTTAAAGCGCTGCGTATCGCTTTGTATTCTTTAGGATTCGTGCGTGGAGTTTTGAAATGTTTTTGTTTCAGAATGTTGGCCATGTCTTGTCCAATAAAAATGGACCAGGATAGCTACGATGACCCGCATACGAAAGCTTATCTTTTGTATCAGGCCCATTTTTCACGCATCCAGTTGCCATCGACGGATTTCGAAACAGACGCGAAGTTGGTGCTCGATCAGGCGCCTCGCATTATGCAGGTATTCGCTTGCTTTCAGCAGCAAATGCTTTTGTAGCCAATTATCGCTGTTTCAAAGGCGATGTTGGACGTTTGCGCGGAGAACGGTTGGTTAGCTGCATCCTTGCGGATGGTGGATTTGATGCATATGGTTTATCAAGGACGATGGAACGTTGATATTGATTTGAGCACGCTGCCGCATATCACAACGACAATTGCAGAGCAGCTGATTGAAAGGTTAGTTTCTATGAGCTCCTAAGCGAGTCGGTTATAGCATCTCTTTTCTTCAGGAACCCGACAATTTTCGGCTCTTTATCGATCGCTGTGCAACAACTGTCGAGTCACCCCAACAAGCTGTTAACTTGCGCCCAAGATCTGATCGACCCGCAGCA